GGCACTTTCCTGCACCGTGGGAGATTACACCCTTTCTAATTTTAATCCCTCCCTTTCCACCCAAGAAGCAAATTAGAGATCAGCCCAAGCTTCGTCTTGAGGCAAAGCTCAACGCCTTAAGCCATATTGATGCTCTGTCCACAGAGCATTCTCTCTCTCAAATCATATACACTGATGGTTCCCTACACCGCACCACGGGTGCAGCTGGAAGTGCAGCTGTTCTGACAATGGGCGATGGCTTGAATTTTGAGTGGGGAGTCCGTATAAACAACTGGGCCTCTACCCTTCAGACCGAACTATTTGCCTTGATCCTTGCACTGAAATGTGTACAAGTCTCCAAACTTGATACATAAATTGTAAGTGACTCCTTATCATCCTTAATTACTCTCAACTCTTTAAGACATAACTGTAACATGCTCGTGTCCGAAGCTAGACACAAATACAACAAAATTATTAAGGATGGTAACAGAGTCCATTTCATGTGGTCTCCATCTCATGTTGGCCTCCGAATGCATGATAGAGCTGATAAGTTAGCCAAAGAATCTGCCTTTAAAGGAGCCGTTGATTGTAACCTTGGATTGTCAATGAGCAGTCTGAGAGCAGCAGTACACCGAGAACTTCAACAAGATCTTGTAGATCTGAGGCAAAGTGAAATTGACACCAGTAATTCCATCTATCATCATACTATGCAACCCGTGCAAGAGGAGCCACACATCTATGGTCCATCCAATAAAATCAGCAGACTTCTAGATGTTACTACTGCTCGGCTTAGACTCGGTTACAAGTATCTCTGGAAATTCTCATTATCTGCCGATGTAGATCTGACCAAATGTAAACTGTGTCAACAAAATTATTTGCACACCCTCCGTCACTATGTGATGGAGTGCGAAAAGATACGTGAATTCAGAGACAATTCTATAACCAATGTACCAACGATGTGTCAATATTTAATTCAAAATGATCTGCTACCAGAAATTTTAGCCAAATATCCCCAGTTTGCTAACTGTAGGTAGTAACTAAGAGTGATTGTAATCTATCCACCGCTGCCCACTGGATGGGGGGGGGGCGGTGTGCAGGACAAACATATCAATTGTGACACTAGCTCTCCACATATGTCAGTTGCTTAATTTAGAACCTGTACTTGAGGTCGATCTCGAACCCATTGTTGATGTGACGACTTATATTGAATTTTGTAACTAGCTCATCAAGATTGCAGTGCGGGCTAGGTATCCAAAGTCTCCAAATTTTGATTAGTGCTAATTAGTTATGCCATTAAGATAATGAGAGACTGTAGTGAGTATATTGCTTGTACTTGCTACAAGCCGAATCGTCTCGTGTCCGAAACGACCATTGTGTATCCAGAGCTCGAGCAGTGTGTACCCACAGGCCTAGCAAACAAATACCTCACCTAACCAGACAAACACCCCCCTAACTCTACCAAAGTAGGGAGGGTCCACAGACGAGAACATGGTTGTAAGTATAGGTCCACAGGCATGGGCCCCAGTGCCCATCATCTGGGTTGGGGGGGCAACAGTGCATTGCTTTGCTCAGAGAGTATAATGCTGCTAACACAGCCCTGCCTTCAATGCTCAGAGAGTATAATGCTGCTAACACAGCCCTGCCTTCAATAAGCAAACTTTTCAGGATTATTTAATTAGCTAAGATTTACCTGAATTTACCAGAGGGTTACTATCTCTCAGTGAGGATAGGAAGCTGGCGGCTTGTCAAATGTCCCCTATTTGCCCTGGTGATTTTATCGAGCAATGTTTTATCATTTACAGCTTCGTCAGGAAGGTGGTTCCATGGTTTCCCTGAATTTACTCGAGGGTGGCCCTCAGGCAAATTCAGGTATCTCTCTCTAGTGATCTCCGCGAGGACAGGAAGGTCGTCTGGCTTGTCGAAGGCCCCTCCCATATGTTTTTGGGATTTTATCGAGCAATGTTTTGGCATTTACGGCTTCGGCGGGTATGCGTTTCCACAACGTTATAATTCTATGGGTGAAAACAAATATTTTCCATCCTTTAGTGTGGCTTGTTGAGCTCGTTTCTTCTTGTTCGTCTTACATCTAGCCTTTTGAAGAAGTGTTCGGGGTCAATATCTTCCAAGTTGTTCAGTAATTTAAAAGTTTTGCTGAGAGCAGCCCTGTCATGTCTGGTCCCTGTGGCCCTCAACCGTTCCTGGTATGAAAGTTGACTTAGTTCGGAAAAGATTTTAGTCGCCTTTAGAAAGTTAAAAGATTTTAACTTCCTCCAAAGCAGATATGTCTTTCTGAAGATGAGGTCTCAAGGCGTGGATATAATAATCCAAGTGGAAGTACACCAGAGATTTATACAGTTGTATAACTACATTTTCTTTCGTCAAAATTTTGTTTGACTATTCCTAGGATTTGGTTTGCTTTTATAACAGCAGCTTCCATTTGTTGTACAACTATCAGTGATTGGTGGAGTCTGACTCCAAGATAATGTTGATGCTTTGGTAGTTGTGCATTGTTATGCCCCCCGTGGGTGAAACAAACATCTGTTTTCTGTCTTGTCCTCTGGCTTGTTGAACCTGAAATCGTTGTTCCTTGTTTGTGATTGATTGATGAAAATTAAGCCACCAATGAGGTGGCACGGCCATAAACAGCCCGTAACCTAGTTTGTATTGTTGTTGTTTTAAACTCAGCTACACTGAACAAAAAGTTCCAAGCAGCACGAGCTATTGTGGGCCCGTAGTGGACTTGGCACAGGAGCGGGGCTGTAACTACTTATTTGTGATTGATTGATGAAGATTAAGCCACCCAAGAGGTGGCACGGGCATGAATAGCCCGTAAAAGGAAGATTTATTTTGGAGTGAATGTGATTTTTGGTCGTGAAAGGATATACTGCATGTTGTGCTCGCATTTAAATCGTCAGTCTGTGGCTGCTATCGCGGGGTGCTTGTTTGTGTTGCATCTGACCATAAATAATCATCATTAAGTTTCTTAACATTAATGGCCAAAATTAGCACATCTTGCTTTTAAATTAGCCCAAAAAGTAGTAAGTAGCGAAATAAACATTTTGGGAGCGCGGGGCTCTCAAAAGTAGCCCAATTCGCTACTTGTAGCCCAATCTGGCAACACTGCCCGCCTCGCCTCCCTCACAACACTCCCCTTCTCCCCCTTAATATTAACACCCAGTTACCACTAGGCCCAATAAACGCTTAAGTTAATTTATTACGGTGTTTATTTGGGGTGTAAACTACATTTGGTGGTTTAATATAGAACATAAATATTGACATTCATTACGTCTAGATGGACTCCTTCTGCATTCATTGTTGCTGTAAGATGGAGGCTTAACAATATAAAAAATGCACTTATTTGATTATATTTTAATTACTTTCAATTTATAAATTAACGAAGTGATAATTCACAAACAAATGCTCTCATTCTGTCATATATAGAGGATCACCCATCCATCTCGTGATTACAATACCTGAATTTACCTGAGGGACATCATCTCACTAGTGGCCTCAACGAGGACAGGAAGCCGGTGTGTTGTCAAAGATCCTCTCCCCCATTTGTCCGCATGATTTTATCCAGCTGAATCTTCAACTGAAGCAACGTTTGGGTATTTACAAACAATACCCTAAGAGTGAAAACAAAAAATAATTCTGGTTTGTTAAGCCTGAAGCTGTTACTCCTTGTATGAGTTACTTCTGATCTCTTTAAGAAGTGGTCTGGATCAATATCCTCCAAGTTTTTAGTATTTTAAAAATTTCTATGCGATCACCCCTGTCATGTCTAGTCTGCAGTAGTTTTTTTCAGTCTGTTATCATTTTACTATACACAAAGAACAGCATATCCACATATCATCATACGTCTGTTTTGAACGTGTTAAATTTGATAAATATTTCGTCTATCATGCATCCAGCACCCATTTGTTACACACCCCCAGGAAGCAGCCCATAGCAGCTGTCTAACTCCCAGGTACCTATTTACTGCTAGGTAACAGGGGCATCAGGGTGAAAGAAACATTTTGCCCATTTGTCTCTGCCTCCACCGGGGATCGAACCTGGAACCTCAGGACTACGAATCTGAAAGCGCTGTCCACCCAGCTGTCAGGCGCCCTATCAAGAAGCATAGTTTCCTATCACTCCAGTTAAAGGTGACTGCAGGTCCCATTGTCGAGGACAGGAGGCTTTTACTTAGGTTTATTGAGCTCCTCCCTAGGCCAACTACAGACCTTTCCTGGGCTTGCAACGCATAACAAAGGCCTAACTCCCAGGTATCCACTTTACTTTTAAGTGAACCGCAGCATCAGGTAAAAGGAAACAGGTACAACCACTTTCGTCCTGCCCCGGGGATTGAATCCGTTGTGAGTCGAGGATGTAAGGACTGTAAGGGACACAGTTCCTTTCCATTAAATAATCATTAATCAACCTAAAGTGGGTGGAAATGGGTAGTTTTCCATTTTTTATTTCGTTGCTACGGAGACGGTTAAGGAGGAAGGCAAGATATGATACACGAAGTTGGTTTTGGTGAAATGTTCCCATTTTCTTTTGCACTGTGAAAGTAAGGCCGAGCGAATAATCAGATAATAATATGTGAAAAATGTGGATTTTGAGAATAGGGCGCACACCTGATTGGGTAGATTTTGCTGTTATATCTTCTTGATGAAGGCTCAACCAATCAACACAGCCACTCTCCCAGTCAAAAAAGGTGTCCAGCAGCTGGACACCCTCATAAATACTGTCTAGCAGTATCCTCCCCCGCGATAGCAGCTTGACGATTAAATGCGACCTCAGAACACTGAAGAGATTTACTGAACAAAAAAATTGTACCACTTACGGGCTATTCATGCCCGTGCTACCTCTTGGGTGGCTTAATCCTTATCAATCATCAATCGCTCAACCAACATTACTAGGTACTCAGCACAGCAACTTGTTTGATATTGCTAAGATATAGCCAGCATTGGATTTATGTAACCAAAGGGTTGGGGCTTTTCTGTAACCATAGAGGTTGAGGATATTAAAAGATTTGCTAACCAAAATCATTTTATTTATAAAAATATGAGGATCAGCTTACAATAGTTGCTCGGTAGGTACAGTAATTGCAGGTTTTATAAAACAATTATTACCCATAGCGTTTCGGCCATAATTTAAGATAATTCATGAATTGAATGTTACTAACTACTTCTTTCAGAGTCAGCTAAGGTCGCAACCCCATCTCCAGGTTGGTGAATCCCATCCTTTGAGCACTTAAGAGTTCTGGCCAATGAACGCGTCCCAGTTTTTTTTCTTTGTAAGCGTCAAGCCACCACGACTATATACTTGGAAGGGATCAGGATAAGGATTTGGGATGAGACGGGAGTAAGGAATGATGCCCAACGACTTGGACGGTCGGGGATTGAACGCCGACCTGCATGAAGCGAGATCGTCGCTCTGCCGTCCAGCCTTAGTGGTTTAGACGCGTCCCAGTTGTTGATGAATGGTAATTCACAACAAAAACAATGCCTTTAAAGTCGGCATTTTATCTCGATTACCCATGAAAACCCCTCACCACCAACAACGTACCTCGGTAGCACTCCACATACAATAGGAACCACTTCTTTGTTTTTCCTAATCATATCTAGATGATATGATTAGGAAAAACTTCCTTCAAAGTTCAAAAATGAACTTCAATCTATTTATAAGTTCCACACTTTTACCTTTGCCAACGCTGTTCCCTCCAACCAACAGGCAGACAGTAAGCTTGTTACCATCGCCGACCAAAATGTTCTCCACACTGTCTGCTATGTCGACTATACCAGCACCAGGAAAAACGAATCCTAACCTATTTTGAGCATCTCTTGAACAAGAGTCCTGTCTACGCATCTTATTTGAGAATCTCCAAAAGTAAGATTTTCCAACTTCTCTTGAGTCACTTTGTTGCCCTTCCTCCTGCATCCTTGCTCCAAAATATCTGTGTCCACTGTCGGGCGAGCAGTTGCCTCCCTCGAGCACTCATTCTCCAGTACAGAAAATGTGTTGGAGATTTTCACAATGGGTACTAAAGGCCTTTTCATTGTCCACCTAGGGCTCTTGTCCTTGGAGACAAACCAATTTATTTTCACAGCGACGCCATCCGCCGCGTACAGTTGCGCGTCCATCTTCATCCTGTTGCCATACACACAATTCCGCATCAGCTATAATACTTCTTTCGTCAGCTGCTCTAAATTTGTTCTCATGACAGAACATAGATCCATCAACTTACGCACCAATCTTTGCTCCATCTCAACTAAGTTAAGATCCGTAAAGTAACCCTCTAGCTTGAGCAACACTCAGACTCGTACAGCCTTGAACCATTGATCCTGGTTACCTTAAGGTAGTTCCCAGGATCAATGGCCCAGCTGCCCGGTCTCCCATCCAGACCGGGTAATTGGAAGTCTGTCAACCAGGTTGCAACAATAATAATAACAATACAATAAATATAACAATAACGTTAAAGTAAGGAGAGTCTGAAGGGGAACTTTATGTATAAATGATTACTATTCCAATGAGAAACATCATAGTGGTATCTTTGTATCTCTCAATAGTATTCATGGGGATGACTTCCTCATGATCATCAAGAGCTTGAATTGGCCAAAGTGACTGGATGCTGTAACTTCAGGAGCATGTTGTTGTTGGTGGCAGTGCCCTGGCCGACAGCTTGCTGTAGTTGGAGGAGCGTGTGGTTGATGGCAGTGCCCTGGCCGACAGCTTGCTGTAGTTGGAGGAGCGTGTGGTTGGTGGCAGTGCCCTGGCCGACAGCTTGCTGTAGTTTGAGGAGCGTGTGGTTGGTGGCAGTGCCCTGGCCGACAGCTTGCTGTAGTTTGAGGAGCGTGTGGTTGGTGGCAGTGCCCTGGCCGACAGCTTGCTGTAGTTGGAGGAGCGTGTGGTTGATGGCAGTGCCCTGGCCGACAGCTTACTGTAGCTGGAGGAGCGTGTGGTTGATGGCAGTGCCCTGGCCGACAACCTGCTGTAGTTGGAGGAGCGTGTGGTTGGTGGCAGTGCCCTGGCCGACAGCTTGCTGTAGCTGGAGGAGCGTGTGGTTGGTGGCAGTGCCCTGGCCGACAACCTGCTGTAGTTGGAGGAGCGTGTGGTTGGTGGCAGTGCCCTGGCCGACAGCTTGCTGTAGCTGGAGGAGCGTGTGGTTGGTGGCAGTGCCCTGGCCGATAGCCTGACACAACTGGTGATCACGTTTGTCACCCCATCCACCGTTCGGCTTTATCAAACCGGTAGTTTTTAACTGGAGGCCAAGCAACTTTAACACTGCTGGAAAGAGCCACTGGAAATTTATTTCGTAGTAATATGCTTGTGATTTGATCTCGTCTTTAACATTGCAGCCGTTCTTTTTCACATGGGTGCCACTGTGGGTAGAAATCAGAGTGAAGTGACTTATAATGAATGTTACTGCACAGCGGAATGAAAAAGTAATTGAATGTTCACTATTTTAAATGATACAATAAATGTAATCCAATCAACACTGAAGATATTAGCTAGAATAATTATGCTAATTATAATAATTATTACTCGATATAATCGAACTGAGAGTTAGGCAATTATTGTGGGTTGTATCCCGGGTAAGGTCAACAATTGGCCTGGAGGCTGTTGTTGTTGTTGTTGTTATAGATTCAGCTACCGGGAACAAAAAGTTCCAAGTAGCACGGGCTATGGTGAGCCCGTAGAGGACTTACCTGGCACAGGAGCGGGGCATGATGTGTCAGAGTAACTCATCCTCTACGACACTCATATATATAATAACCGTATGCATATGAAGCGCCACAATAACGTGGCTGAAACATGTTGACCAAACCACACACTAGAAATTAAAGAGACGACGACGACGACGTTTCGATCCGTCCTGGTTTTGATCCGTCCGTTATCAAGTCGACTGTCAAGTCAAATCACAATCGACTTGATAATGGTCCAGAACGGACCGAAACGTCGTCGTCTCTTCAATTTCTAGTGTGTGGTTTGGTCAACATAATAAACATAAACATGTTAACCAAACCACACACTAGAAAGTGAAGGGACGACGACGTTTCGTTCCGTCCTGGACCATTCTCAAGTCGATTGTGGTCCAGGACGGAGAATGGTCCAGGACGGACCAAAACGTTGTCGTCCCTTCACTGTCTAGTGTGTGGTTTGGTCAACATACCTCAGCCACGTTATTGTGACTCCTCGCCTGCTAACGTAAACATGACCGCGCGTTTACCAGCTCCCGGCGTGGAGGACCCTGGAGAAGGTCAGAGCCAACATGGCCAGCCGGGGCTTGCAGCAGCTCTGCACCAGCCGGAGGAGCGTCCAATCCCAGTTGTAGTCGTCGAAGGTGCAGAAGAGCTCGTCGCACGCTCTTATCACCCTCCAAGTGTCTTTGTTGAACGAGTAGCCTAAGTTGTGTTGTGTCACGTGCCAGTCGCTGATCACAGCCTATGCGAGTGAGACGTACAAAGTTACGGAACGTTACGGCATATCACAATCGACTTGAGAATGGTCCGGGACGGACTGAAACGTCATCGTCTCTTCACTTTCTAGTGTGTGGTTTGGTTAACATGTTTATGTTTATTATGTTGACCAGACCACACACTAGAAATTGAAGAGACGACGACGTTTTGGTCCGTCCTGGACCATTATCAAGTCGATTGTGGTCCAGGACGGATCGAAACGTCGTCGTCGTCGTCTCTTTAATTTCTAGTGTGTGGTTTGGTCAACGCATATTTTGAGGTTTTCTTGAGATGATTTCGGGGCCTAGCGTCCCCGCGGTCCGGTCCTCGACGAGGCCTCATTTTTGTTACACATCCCCAGGAAGCAGCCCGTAGTAGCTGTCTAACTCCCAGGTACCTATTTATTGCTAGGTAACAGGGGCATCAGGGTGAAAGAAACTGACCATTTGTTTTCGCCTCCACCGGGGATCGAACCCGGAACGTCAGCACTACGAATCCGAAGCGCTGTTCACTCAGCTGTCAGGTTCCTGTTATGCTGCCAGGCATGATAAGGGTCCAGCACGGACTGAAATGTCGTTCATTTCATTTAATTTCTTATGTCTGGGTTGGGTTATTTATGTATACAGCTCATAATTTATTTTATATTATTTCAGGCAATAGAGAAAAAAGTTAAATGAGTTTGATAAAACTGCAAACTGCACTTTACTGAATAAATCAAATCAGTTTGGTTGGATGCACCTGACATTGTCTGAGGATTTTTACAGAATATTACCTAGACTGAGACCTAGTTTACACTGAAAAAAATATTTAAGGTTAACGAACAAAGCCAGACTCGCTTCACTGTCGACAGTAAATACAACTATAGTTTAACTGAAAACTCACACCCCAGAACATATGCAACATATGAGTTTCAATATGCAACTTGAGTTTTCAGTTGCATATTGTCCTGGGGACCATTCAGGCTTGTTCGCAACTATAGTTTAGTTATTAACTTAAATACTAAAACTCTCAAGTTGTTCGAAAACTTAATCATAATGTACGTATTGCCTGATCACGACTCACTCTAAACACCTGATGCTTGTGTTCACTTAGGGAGCTGGGAGTTAGTCAACTGTTGTGGGTTGCATCCTGGGGAGGGTCAGTCGTCGGCTTATGGAGACCCCGACAACAAGAAGCTATATAATATATAAAGAAACAAGCTGGGTACTAGACACGGGAGACATCTCCCGTCACGCAGGGTGCAGTCGCACCTCCACAGATCTCCAGTATCAGCTCTTGATACTGGTAATGGCTCAAAAGGGCCTCCACTTACGAGCTATTCATGCCCGTGCCACCTTTTGGGTGGCCTAATCTTCATCAATCAATCGGGTACTAGACTATCTGACAGGAAGAAAGCATATGGGGCACTAGGGGTTGATGCAAAGTTTCTGGCTTCGGACCAACCATATTGAGAGATGCGGATATTTGATGAACTCATAACTAGCTCTTGATCTATATTTTAGAATCCCTCATATAGACCTATGCTTGCTAATACAAGAACTATGATAATAGACAGAATTCAGTAATATGTTATTCTTTATAACGGATATAAAATAAAATTGTGTTACACAAATTTCCGAGGCAGATATATCGGGGGAAAAATATAAGAGAAAAAGGAGGCGAGACTCACAGTATTCCCATGGGGGTCACCATTCACTCTCTTGTAGTTGCCGAGAGCGATCACCTGACAGTAGTGACAGAGGTGCTCCTTGTCCTCGAGGAGTCGGTGGAGGACGTGGAGGAGATCTGGGGCCAGATAGTGGTCCTCCTCCAGAAACACCACCCACCCTGCCGCCTCTCGCGTGGCCCGTAGCTCCTCGAACACTCTGTAATCAAGTCACTCGTATTAGGGTGGCGAAAATGCAAGAGAATTTCTTGCATTTTCTGCAAAAAATTGCAGAAAAAATAGCTTTGCCGTCAAAAATTTTCTCTCTGTACTCCAACAGGAGACGGAGAGGAAACCCATTAAAAAAAAAATAAATTTTAAATTTTGCCCCGAGGGGCGAGTTTATTGGGCAGCGCCACTCATCCTGGGAGTGGACATACCGCCGTAGAAGCATGTACAACACTCATGTATAGGGTAGGGGTAGAAATAGCCTAAGCTACTCTATCCCTTTGAGATGTATTTCTTTCTTGTCTCAATAAACATACTTGAACTTGAAGTATACACAGGTATATACACAGAGGTTTCTAGCCCCGATAACGGGAATTAAAATTAGTTTTTATTGGTTATCCTTTACATTGTCGTATCATCCTAACTTTATGCTGCTTGTTATGCCAATATGTTATGGCCACTAGTCTCACCGCACTAGTGGCCAGCTGTAAGTTTCACCAATGGCTGTCACACCTGTTCACTCTAGCCATCACTGTATTTATTGATAGGTTTATTAGTATCCTTAAAATTAGGATGATGCGACAATTTAATGTCATATATTATGCTAAAATGTTATATATTATGCTCACCGCACTAATGGCAAGCTATAAAAGTCTTCAAGAGCTGTAACACCTACCTACTCCACCCACCCCTGTAAAGATTTTGATAAACTACTGATAAAAATACCGTCTGAGCCTAAACCTAGATTATGTAGTATAATAATAATGATTACATGTTATGCAGTTACTATAACCTTTTCTTAGGTAAATAAAATACACTGTAATTTTGTGTAAACTAACTAAACAATAAATATTCCAATAATTCTGCATGAGGTTTGGAATTTGAATTAATTTCTTTAAAACTAGTGAAAATTAAAAAAAAAATGTAATAAGCTTATTTGAATTAGGTAAGTTCTCCTTAATCTCCTTCAACGGGTATCTCCTTTATTCCTTCAGGTGCTAACCTTCGTAGCTTCCACCACCAGTGGTGTTTGATCTGTGTGAGAGGCGCCTCCCTGTAGTGCCCATACATGTCCGGTTGGTTGGGGCACTCTATGCCATCACGGCTCTCCCTGTCATTAGAAAAAATGAAAAGTTAGTGGTTGCAGACGAGGAGTCACAATAACGTGGCTGAAATATGACGACCAAACCATACACTAGAAAGTGAAGGGACGACGACGTTTCGGTCCGTCCTGGACCATTCTCAAGTCGAGTGGTTATTGGGGGTTTGTTGAGGGTGTGGGAAAACAATGGGGTTATGTTCAGGGGGCACTCGTTACCCCCCGGAAGTGTAAATATTCCTATGGGCCGCATTCTATTATTTAAACATCCGGATAGATCGCATATTAATGTGTGAACATTGCGATTGACTGCATGGTATTGTGTGAATATTCCGATAGACCGCATAATAATGTGTTCAACTCCCGAAAAACAGCATGATATTGTGTAAACATTCCAAATCACAGCATAGTATTGTGTGAACATCCATACTGACTGCATAATAATACGTAAAAAGTACGATAGATACATGATATTGTGTAAAAATTCCATTAGACAACATACTATTGTGTAAACATCTCGAAAGACCGGAAAGTAGTGTGAATATCCCGCTAGACCGCATAATAAAGGGTAAACAACTCGATAAACTGCATAGTAAAGTGTAAACATCGCAGTAGACCAGATAGTAAAGTGTAACCATCCCGATAGACGGCATAGTAAAGTGTAAACAACGCATTGATATGTTGTTGATATGCGTTTATTTAAATGAGAGAGTTGCCACCACACTGTATAGGATGAGAGAATGTTGCCACCACTTAACGCATATCATGTTATCATCAGTGTGTCTTTCTACCTTACTTTGTAATAGAAACACCAGAGCTCGTGAATGGACTGACATGTCACTACAACAATCTACTTTATAAAAAAAGAAAATTTTTCTCTAACGTTTACCTGGAAGAATTCCATGCACAGTCGGCTGGGTCATTTCCGGGAAAAGTCCGGGCGTGAAGCTGGAGAGAAAACGGGAAGAACATTTGCATGACGCGAAAGTTGGTGATGTTCCTGACGAAGGCGTTGATAGCAGGGTCCCACAGGTCGTGGCTGAAGATGACCAGGCTCTTGTTGATGCCCTCCACCGCTGACATAGACTCCACCAGGTAGTGCAGGTTCTCAAGCCGCTTGTGGACCTGTGCTAAGGAGAGAAACTGCTTTCTGATTTATCTAAATACACGTTCAAATGTGGATCCAAAGAGTAGTCGCATTTCGTCACTGCTACTCTTTTAGACAACCTTAACCTAACCTACCCTATACTATATAGATCTTGCAGCAAGCACTATCTGGGTGCAAGCTTGTGACCAGGCTTGGGTCACAATCACTCTCCCACTCCACCAACGAAGTCTTGAAATACAGTTATTTCAATTTGGACATCCACCAAGGATCCTGCCAAGGTACAGAAAGTTAAGCTAAGCTAACTTAACCTAACCAATTCACAGAACACTCGCAGTTTAATAGGATGAAGTTCTGAAAAGGACCATGAGAAGCAGCGTACTTTAAGCTTTGTTTCTACATCATGTGCAAACTTTCAAACTGTTTACATAATATATGAAAACTAACTTGAAAATGTAGCAGAAATATAATGAACACAATCCAGTTTTAATTATTCCCGACTAGTGTAAGCAGAATTAGACCTATATTTTTTTGTTTTGACATGATTATAGGCTATCTATAAAATACGTCCTCTCAGTTATAACAAAATTTAAATATAAACTCTTGGTATATAGTTCTCGTCCAGTAGGTCACTCGAGGCCAACCTTGTGACAAAATATGTGTTACTTTCACACTATGATTTTTTATTTGTACAGGCGAGAGCGGAGAGCCATTCGTATACTGAGTTAAGTCGGGCAACAATGTTATACTACGGAGGCAATAAATCACCAAACCGGGTCAAGTACCTGGCCCAAGCACTAACTCTCAACATAAAAGAAAAATGTACCTGCACCAAGAGAACAGAAGTGTTGGGAACAACCGGACCAAATATATGCTGGTTAAGGATCTCTTGGTCATCGTTAACTTGTTTGATCTGTTCCTTCACGCTGGCGACTTCCTCTTCAGTCAGCGACACTTCCAGCGGGTCGACCTCGTGGGTGAGCCGTATGTTGCTTGCCTGCCCAGGTGTCTGTTGCCCAGATTATTTATAAGACCACCGGAGGATCAGTCCACAAATTACAATTCAAAATGCTCGCGTTTAACGAAACTTAAACGTAGCCTAAACTATGGAAAATGTATCCTGTCAGTATTTTATGGGTGGTACTACAAGGATGGGTGCATACAAATCATATAATCTGCTCCCTGATTAGCAGAAAATAGTTAAAATACAGGATTTTGACAAAATGATGTCTCCTGAGCTTTGGGGAATAAGTCCCACAATTATTCCTCGAGCTGCTCCTTGGATCACACAACAACGGAAGCAACACACAATAATGAATATATATATATACATATGGCGCGGGATAACCTACCTAATTCCAGTACCTGACCGAAGGTCTAAATCTTAACATAAATATCTTACTTGTGTAATGAGGGAAGCTGGTTTAAAGTTCGCCAGAGATGTCGGTATTTTTCGTTCTAATGATATTTTTGGTTCCTCTGCTGAAATTTGTGTTGGTATTTCTGATTCCTTTTCTTGTACTGCACTTTGTGATGCTTCTTCTAACACCTTTTGTTCAGCTTCTGGTTTTATTGACTCCGGTGTTCTCGCTATTGACTCATCTGCAAGTATTCTGGAATACTGTGTTGATATTTGTTGCTGGTGTGTTGACTTTTCCGATTTCTCTGCGGTTATTTTAGACATTTCTTCAGATATTTTTGCTTCTTTTTCCAACGACATGTTTAGCCCTTCTGCTGCCGACATATTTGGCGCCTTCCTCTCCGTCAGTGTAACTGTAGCAGAATATGCGAGTTCTTGCCATAGAGCAGCCTTTAACTTCTTCAACAAATCAAGTGAATCAGAGGCTCCCTCCGTCTCGCGTTCACCGTCTTCCCAACCACGTCCTTCTCCACTAAGTAGTAAACCGTCCAAGTCAGGAGTCCTTCGTCTGGCATCCTGCGGCGTCCCGCCCGTGACACTGTCGCCTGGCGCCACTCTCTCTTCCTCCAGCACTTGATCACTTACTACCTGGAAAGCATTTACTTCAATATTTTTTTCATTTGTCTATAGCTTAATAAATGCCTAGGACCGTTTCTATCAGCAAGGCAGTAATTACAATTACTTCTGTACTGCATTATAAACTAATGATCTTTCAAGGTTTAAATTATAAACATATATATATATATATATATATATATATATATATATATATATATATATATATATATATATATATATACACAATCTTTGGACAACACCCACCAGTGGGACTCGAACCCAGAAAGCACAACTACCTTCCAGTAGCTGCCATAACTAGTACGCTTTAACCCACTACACCATCAGACCCTACAAAAGAAGTAGAGACTTCGAGATATATATACATCTCAAATATCTCCACTTCCCGAGGGCGCCAGATAAGTGTGAGGTTAGTTGCGTTTTTTATCAAGCCACTGTCAATGTGAGAGAACTCGTGTCCAGCTATAAGCCTATACTTGCATAAACCACAAGTGAAGATTAACAATCTTTGGACAACACCCACCAGTGGGACTCGAACCCAGAAAGCACAACTACCTTCCAGTAGCTGCCATAACTAGTACGCTTTAACCATCAGACCCTACAAAAGAAGTAGAGACTTCGAGATATATATACATCTCAAATATCTCCACTTCCCGAGGGCGCCAGATTAGTGTGAGGTTAGTCTGCGTTTTTCATCAAGCCACTGTCAATGTGAGAGAACTCGTGTCCAGCTATAAGCCTATACTTGCATAAACCACAAGTGAAGATTAACAATCTTTGGACAACACCCACCAGTGAGAACACGAGCTCTCTCACATTGACAGTGGCTTGATGAAAAAACGCAGACTAACCTCACACTTATCTGGCGCCCTCGGGAAGTGGAGATATTTGAGATGTATATATATCTCGAAGTCTCTACTTCTTTTGTAGGGTCTGATGGTGTAGTGGGTTAAAGCGTACTAGTTATGGCAGCTACTGGAAGGTAGTTGTGCTTTCTGGGTTCGAGTCCCACTGGTGGGTGTTGTCCAAAGATTGTTAATCTTCACTTGTGGTTTATGCAAGTATAGGCATATATATATATATATATATATATATATATATATATATATATATATATATATATATATATATATATATATATATATATATATATATTGTTTTCTCTGAATGCTCTATGTTCCCTTGTTTGAGGCTGTGGTTCCCTATAATTGCAACAGAGGTGGTACCCTCCCTATATATATTCATATAACGATATTCATATAACGTCTATGAAACTAAGACAATTGTCATGTCCTTCAAGAAGACCTGGCCAAATAAGTGTATGGTGCAACACTTGGCAAATAGAATTTAATGCGAATAAATAACAAGTTATGGAATGTGGAATGGGAGATAAAAGGCCAATCACAACCTACAATTTATGTGAAAAAGGCCTTAAAGAACTCTGATAAGGAAAATAATCTAGAAAGAAAACTGTCACCTGAGGACCACATAAACAACATTGTGCGAGGAGCCTGTGCTACGCTTTCCATCTTCAGAATCGCTTTAAAGTTCATGGATGGCGAAATATTAAGGAAGTTGTTCACGACCTTTATGAGACCAAAGTTAGAATATGCAGCGGTTGTATGGTGCCAAAATCTCAAGAAGAACATCAATAATCTGGAAAATGTACAAAGACACGCAACCAAATGGCTTCCAGAATTAAAAATCGAAAGCTACGAGGAGATGGTAGAGGTGTTAATTACCGAAGCTAAACGATAGAAGAAAAAAAAGAGGTGATACTACCATTACATGCAAAATATTAATAGGATTCCATAAAACTGACAAAGAAGAATTCTTGAAAATGACAACTTCAAGAACAAAAGATCATAAATTCAAACTAAGAAAACAAAGCTGCCGAAAAAAATAGAAAGTTTTATTTTGCAAACAGAGTGGCAGACGGTTGGAAGTAGTTAAGTGAGGTGGTGGAGGCCAAAACTGCCAGTAGTTTCAAAGCCTCACATGACAGAGTGCTGGGAAGTCGGGACATGACGAGCGTACACATCATCCTGTAACTACACTTTGGTAAATACCACTTTTCGATGTATATACAGTGAGAGAATACTTTAGTCCCGAACTCTGTTAAGAATCACAGTATATTTGCTAGTTGGTCAGTAGGCTATTGTGGTTACATTAATAGCTCCCGCGCTACTGATAGACCTTAACGCCAAACCAAACAATAATAAGATCAATGTAACTAGATCCTCACACGTAAGCTGCGGCACTGCGTTATGCCTTCATAGATGAGTGTATCACTTTACCTCTCCGACAGCCTGCAAGGGCTCCTGGTACCCGCTTCTCCAGGCTAAGCTTTCCTGGTTACTTGAAGCCTCCGGTGGCGGTTGTGGCAGACCACCCCAGGGACGACCCTTGCTCCTGGTGGAGACCAACAATAGCTGGTGGTCGATGTGGAACATCGTGGCGAACCACATCATCGTCACAAGCGGCAGGAGGGTGCGTCGCAGCCACCGTCGGAACTGCAGCATCTCTGAACCTGAGCATTGAGTGTAAAGGTAGGTTCGATGTCAGTTTGTCGATCTCTTTCAGTCAAGTGAGGCTTGTTAATTGTGAAAGTTTCTTAATTACGATACAAAATTGCGAAACCTTTCTGATTACAATACATAATTTCGATTTTTGTTATAACAATGCATAATTGTGAAAGCATTTTTATTCATTATTTAATTCTGGAATAGGTGATTCATTCAGCAGAGTATTCTTACTCTGCTGAATGAATAGCAACCGCTATTACTCTGCTGAATGAAGCAACCGAAGTGCTTCAGCAGTCCTCTGGAGACTACATTAACTCAACCTCGAGAAAAATTCAACATTACTGTTATTAATCCTGTAGAAATACCATTATTCAGTTTATGATACTGAAGATGCATTTCCAGTTTACAACACACAATCTTGAGAAATTTCAATTAACACACCAATATAAGAATACAGGAAGCTATTTAGGACATACGAGGCAGCTTCTGTTTATATCCATCCAAACTCATTTATATATATGATTAAGCAACGGCTGAAACCGCCCAACACCCCCACGTCTCACTTGGGCTGGACGGTTGAGCGACGGTCTCGCTTCATGCAGGTCGGCGCTCAATCCCCGACCGTCCATAAGCGGTTGGGCACCATTCCTTTTCCTCCGTCGCATCCCAAATCTTTATCCTGATTCCTTCCCAGTGCTATATAGTCGTAATGGCTTGGCGCTTTCCCCCTGATAGTTCCCTTCCCCACATCTCATATTTATTCAATAAATCAACCACGAAAATTCAATACATTTTTCGATATTAATCAGCATTTTCCAATCATTTGTGGAGTTCATGTCCCTTTGTGTCTTATAAGTCTCTGTTACTTTCCCTAACGGTGTTGGACTCCTAATGCGTCTATTACCTTCCTAAAAACGTCAACATAAACTAAAGTCTGCCTAAACTACAGATGTTCATTTGAAGCCTGTCTGTGTTTACAGAATATTTGTCATATCTACACAAATCCTCTACGTGAACGCTGTTCAAACAAACGAGCATCGGTGGCGAATATGCACATATATGATTGGAAACATGTGTTGGTATCAGTCTGGTGTATGGCGCTGATCACCTGTGCCAAGGGTTTATTGATTCAGTGGCGGCGGGGGGAGAATCACAAATTTGACATTCCCTCTTTTTTTTTTTTCACTCTATGTACGTTTTTTAAGGGGGCTTATCGGCATAAATTAAAAGTTGTTCAATTTGCTTATAAATTTTTTTATGAAATGGTTATAGAAAGGGCTGCAACTGGTCCAAGTTTCACCATCACACCCTAAACAGAAAAGGAGAAAAAAAATACACAACGTATTATGCAACGAATGTTCAACATTCTCAAATAATCTCAGGAAACACATGTGTCAACTAAAATGTCTACTATGTGCTGTAGAAGCACAAACTCTTGTAATAATTGTAATATGTATGTGCAATATATTTATATGTAAATTTTTTTTTTCTTTTTTTTTTTCTTTTTTTTTTTTGCCAATTTTTTTTTCTCGTTTGTTATCAAGAGATTTGCATGAAACCTGCACACCTTGCTCAATGGATGCCTATCTGCAAGGGTGCCAATTATGAACGAAATCTGTCGAAGTCAAGCTCAGCTACAGGTGGCCGAACTTGGATCTTTATTTTAATCTGGAAAGTAATTTACAACTTCAAGGCGTTTCTCAGCTTTCATTTATTAATCAATTTACATGCAAATTACACCTTATATGTAGAGTTTGTGCTTCTACAAACCTATTGAGACATTTTAGTCCAAAGTCCATTTGTTGATTTTATAAAAATTTATAAACATCATATATTGCATATTTTTGGAAGGGTAACTTTGAATAATTATATTATTGCACTAAACACTTTTTTTGATAAAACTTATCAATACAATCCTTTATTATGTGTTAATTTAATATCTGAGTGTTATAGAAATGATTTTAGTTGACACATGTGTTCCCTGAAATTATTTGAAAATGTTGAAAATTCGTTGCATAATACGTTGTGTATTTTTTTCTCCTTTTCTGTTTAGGGTGTGATGCTGAAACTTGGACCAGTTGCAGCTCTTTCTATAACCATTTCATAAATAAATTTATAAACAAATTGAACAATTTTTACGAAACCGGTAATAAGCCCCCTTAACATTTGGAACATAAACAAATCTGTATATATACAGAGAATGTCTTACTGTGTACCCGAGTTTGGAGGTTGGGGCAAGATTCACGAAGCAATTTTTTTTTTTTTTTTTGAGATATATACAAGAGTGCCTGTACATTCTTGTACAGCCACTAGTACGCGTAGCGTTTCGGGCAGGTCCCTGGAATACGATCCCCGCCGCGAAGAATCGTTTTTTCATCCAAGTACACATTTTACTGTTGCGTTAAACAGGCTACAGTTAAGGAATTGCGCCCAGTAAATCCTCCCCGGCCAGGATACGAACCCATGACATAGCGCTCGCGGAACGCCAGGCGAGTGTCTTACCACTACACCACGGAGACTGCTAAGTACTTACGAATTACTAATGCAAGTACTTACGAATCCTGTATATTTCTCAATCTTTGGCGGCTTCATTTACATTTATTAAACAGTTAATGAGCTCCGAGGCACCAGGAGGCTGTTTATAACAATAACAACAGTTGATTGACAAGTTTCAATGCTTGTAAACTGTTTATTAAATGTAACCAAAGCCGTTAAAGATTGAGGAACGACGTACACGTTCGTAAGTACTTTCGTAACTGCTTCGTGAATCTTGGTCCAGACGTTTGGGGCTGATGACCCATGTTTCGGTCATCAATATGACCGAAAAAGTAAGATTAATAATTCTAACGCGAATTTTCTCTCGAACATATTCTACATTACCATCAACAGTAAAAAGAAACATAAGAAATATTGAGAAAATTCGTGTTAGTATTATTAATCTTACTTTTTCGGTCATATTTAACATTATATATATATATATATATATATATATATATATATATATATATATATATATATATATATATATATATATATATATATATATATATATATATATATATATACACATATACATATACATATATATATATATACATATATATATATATATATATATATATATATATATATATATATATATATATATATATATATATATATATATATATATATATATATACATATATATGTATATATATATATATATACATATATATATATATATATATATATATATATATATATATATATATATATACATATACATATATATATATATATACACATATATATATATATATATATATATATATATATATATATATATATATATATATATATATATATATATATATATATATATATATATATATATATATATATGGTTTTGGGGACTGTAAGCTCCAAAAAACCCAGTATATAGGCAAGACAACAACATCTCTTTCTAGGCGTTTAACGATGCATAAGCAACAGGGCTCCATTAAGGAACATATAATCTCTTCCCACAACCAAACCATCGCCAGAGAAATCCTAGTAAACAACACAGAAATCATCGATAGATACAGCGATAGCAGGCGGCTTGACGTTTGCGAGGCACTACACATCAAGAAGTCAACACCAGCAATCAACAGCCAATTATTGCACAACTATATTCTACCCACCTCAAGACTCCGCTCCAATATAGAAGCATCAAGAAATATGGACCAATAGGCTTTCTACAAACACTTCTATTCAATACCCATTGTTTGTGTTCTGTCTTGTGTTGATACTTTTAATACCCTATTAATATCCCCTCTTGTTCTGTCTTGTGTTAATGCCACATCACCCCTCCCACCTCACTCAAATGTAGATATAAAATCGGAGATACGTAAGTTCTAATCAGTTGTGTATATATATATATATATATATATATATATATATATATATATATATATATATATATATATATATATGCGGAAATTCCAGAGAAATATGAAAAGAGGTGAACGTTTCGGCTTGTTAAAGCCTTTGTCAACACCAGACTAAGGAGAAGGGAGAAGGGGGAGGATATATATCCTCCCCCTTCGCAGTCTGCCCACACCATCTGGTCACCACTTGGTCCGGGAGACATCTCCCGTCACGCAGGGTGCAGTCGCGCCTCCACAGATCTCCAGTATCAGCTCTTGATACTGGTAATGGCTCAAAAGGGCCACCACTTACGAGCTATTCATGCCCGTGCCACCTTTTAGGTGGCTTCATCTTCATCTTAACACATTCACAAGGGAGACATCTCCCGTCACGCAGGGTGCATTCGCACCTCCACAGATCTCCAGTATCAGCTCTTGATACTGGTAATGGCTCAAAAGGGCCACCACTTACGGGCTATTCATGCCCGTGCCACCTTTTGGGTGGCTTCATCATCTTCATCTTCAGTCTGCCCACCCACTCTCTTTCTTGCCTGATCGTAGAATTCAATTAATCCTGTGGGGCATTACTTGATATCCCTGAACCCATGTTGATGTTGTGTCACAAAGTTCCTTCGCTCCAGATGTTTCACTAGCTTCTTACGCACAATCATCTCCATCAGCTTGCATGGTATGCAAGTTAGGGACACAGGCCTGTAATTCAGTGCCTCCTGTCTATCCGCTTTTTGTATATTGGGACTACATTTACCGTCTTCCAAATTTTTGGTAGTTCACCTGTTACTAGTGATTTGTTATACACCATGGAAAGTGGCAGGCACAGTGCTTCTGCTCCTTCCTTTAGTATCCATGGCGATATTCTATCCGGGCCTATAGCCTTTGTCACATCCAATTCTAGCAAGAACTTCATTACATCCCCACTGGTAATCCCAAACTCCTCTAGTAGTGCCTGGTTAACTATTCCTTCTCTTATCTCTGGAACTTCTCCTTGCTTTAATGTGAAGACGTCCTGGAATATCTTATAGAGTTCCTCGCACACCTCCTTGTCGTTTGTAATGAATCTTTCTGCCCCTATCCTCAGTTTCATTACCTGTTCCTTTACTATTGTTTTCCTCCTGATGTGGCTGTGCGGCAATTTAGGTTGAGTCTTTGCCTTGCTTGCTGTGTCGTTTTCGTATTGCCCTTCTGCCTCTCTTCTCACCCTGACGTATTCAATCCTGGCACTCTGGTATCCTTCTCCGTTCTC